CTGTCGCTAGCTTGTTAAGGAGTGAAGATATAGCACCTGTCTTAGCGTAGGCATTCTGAAGGCTGTCGTATGCTCCAACTTAATATATGGTGTATGGTCTGGGGACTTTTGACAGCCCGTCGCTAGTGCCTTTCAATGCTTTCATAGCTGTAATCAGCCCTGCAAGAAGAATTGAACATAATTTCTCAGAAATTCGTGGACGATCTCGTACAGAGCATGAATATACAGTAGAGAGACTGCATCACAATTAAGTAGGATTATATCCCCTAGTGATAATTGCGTTTGTGTTACCCTTATCATATGGGCATTCACCTTCTGATTTGAGTAGAATACAGATGTATTTCGAATCTGCTTTTGTATCCTTTGCATTCCTTTCTTAGTCAGTGTTGTCACATTTCTCACTGTCTAATACGTTGACGATGTTATACTATGCTTTGCACCATTCTAATTACTGCTTGCACATGATACATAACATGCGAAAATCTATCTGTCTCAACCAATATACACCAATACCTGACAAAGAATCCAAGCACGATATTTCAGTAGGATAATGAACGCCACTCATAGCTTATTGCCCAAGACTGGCTACGTCATTTACTGACACTTACACAACCTACCTGCTCCAAAAATATGTCCCTTGTTGAGTATAAAACCTACCAGTAAATTTGGTGAATACTGTTAGTTCGACTGGTTTGAAATTCCAGCGAACGGACTGGTCGCATGGGAGTTTTTGATGTTTTCTCTTGCGCAATGTGAATGCCAGCTAGTTTTCTTCGAAAAGTCCATCATGAAGCCATCAAGAATCTTTGCTCTTCTTTAGACAAATAGCCCTCAAGTGCTTTTCTAAAATCAAACAAACCAAATCGAACCTTTAAAAAGTGCTCCACAAAAGCATCCCTGTTCTTAGGCAGAAAGCCCTTGCGTGCTTTGCAGTGATCAAAATAATGTGACTTAAGCTCTATCTGGCCTGCGTAGGCTCAGTGCTTCGATGTCCTCAATGTGAAACACATTATCTAGCAAGTGTGGAATGTTTGCCATAGGATTATACGAGTGCCTGTTCAATTTTATGCCTCAATGCATTGTGGTCAGTACTTAATTTCTAAAAGAAGAAGGACTATGAAAGGTCGTCAACAAAGATAAAAATAAAGAAAAAAATAAAAATAAAATGTAAATTAATAAATAAAATTAGATAATTCAATTTAATTAATGAAAAAATAGTTCAGTAGAAAATTGAAATACCGGAAGCTCATCTTAATTTAGACTCCAACAGGAATTATACTTTTGCTCAAAGAGTGAAAAGTACTGGGACTGGATTTTAGGTGGATTAAAGACGTGACTATGACTTGAGATCGTACTGAAGATGATTGCACTGCATGCATATCCTTCTTTAATTGACCTGCTGCTCTGTTTTGATGAGCAGATCTCAAAACAAGAGAATAGATAAACAAGAGCTAAGTTCAGAATCCAGAAAGCAAACAGAATTAACATTTTTTATGAAGAGCATTGCTTATAGATTATAGGTCACATAATATCATGATAAAAGGTGTTTATTACGCTAACCTGTTGACTCAACTTGTACTAGGCCCACCAGCGGCCGAGAGGTAAATCCGCTGAATGCTAGTAATTCGCTCAGAGTTTTATCTTGACGAATAGGCTGGCTCCAGAGGAGATTTTGCTGTTTTCCTCATGTATAAAGTGAATCAGAGCCAGTTTTCCTTATATTGTTCCTTTGAAAAGGCATATCTTCTCTTAGACAGATAGTTCTCACATTTTTTTGACGTAATAATCCAATACAATTCCTATTAACTATAAAACTGTGTAGCAAACTCAGCAGTAAAATTCCGCTATGCATAAAAACGCTGCAGCACACAAGACTAAAATTTGCCAGATTGCTGTTCCAGGAATGATAATTTCAGCTTATACCCTATGCACAATGTTCACTAGACCTTGTCATCAAATGATTTCTTTTTTGTTTCAAAAACAGAAGTATTTGTATATTTCATACTGCAGTCTGATGATGATTTGAATGATGTTCAGGAATGATCTGAAGGCTGTGATAAAAAATATTTTTATATTGGAATTCAATGCGTAATTGATTGCTGTACTAAATGCATTTAAGTCTACATAGGAAACTGAGAATGGAATTTTAGACATTTATCTTCTACAAATTTATTATGCTTACTGAATATCTCTATATATGGAATAAAATTAAGCAGAGAGAAGGAATATTTCACAAATGGCATGACATGACAAAACTAAAATGTACATAGGCTGTACAATGAAATTTTCTACCATTATGAAGATGTAAGACACAGAGCTCTTAAGTTGTCTGAATAATTTAAAAATAATACACTTGTTATGAATCCAGGTAAACATTGAAATTTAAAATGGAAGTTAGATTTTGAATGTTGATCATAAGTTTCAAGGCTATTAAGTTAAAATGCAGAAAACTTTTCAAAAGAGAAATTAAAAAACTGAAAACAACAAATTACAGAATAAATGTATTCACAAAAAAAAAAAAAAAAAAAAAAAAAAATCACAGGAGTTCACCAGACAAACCAGTTAAGAAAAATAATAATTGAACTAAGGAAGTAGCTGTTATTTTGGAAACAAATGAACAAAAACTTTTCATTTGAATAATAATAAAAAAATATAGAGAGATTTTAAATCATTAGTGAAAAGATCATTAAAAATGCCAGTGTGGTAACTGTATTAGAAATCTCAGCTCTTCTACATATAAATCCATTAGTAACTTTAAATAAATAAATAAAGGTAATACAAGACATTCTGATGGTTCTGATGAAGTCATACATGTGTGCTGATTCATTGCAGTTAGCAATATTTCTTGAAATGTGTTGGTCCTGAAATCAGTTTCTCATGTATTTCAAGGTTTTGAAAAGAAGTAAAAAAAGTATCAAATTGGTTAAAATTTATTCAAAGGGGTTAAAACAAAAAGAGCGGCATTTATCTCATGTACATATTTTAATTCTTTTAGAACTTGTATTTTCAAAAATTGTTTTCAGATTTTTTCATTAAATAGCTTCACAAAACTCACTTCATTCTCTGACAACTGAAAGTATTAAATTATATTGCTTGTATTATTTGTTACTGTACTAAAAATGGTCTGCCTTAATAGATGTTGTGTATTATTTATTTTTAGATTATTATATTAGATTAAGTTTATTCTTATAGGAAAAAAAAGTAATAATGTATATATGTGCAAGATAAGTTGATAAAAAGGTTAATTTTTTTTGATTGTTTACTTAAAGCATAGAACAGAAGTCATACACTTGAAATTTATATGCATAAATTGATTCACATATTTGCATTAAACTGAATATTTTTTAAATACATTATCTTAGATTAATAATGTAGTTATGTAGAATTTACTAATATTTTACTCTATATACATACAAATATATTGCATTATTTCAGACTTCCATATTTAGATATTTGGATAAAAAAGGCCAAGCATTTTTAGATGTCACATCTGTAAATAATATAAAGCAAAACTCTTACAGAAAAAAAAAAAAAAAAAAAAAAAAAAAAGGGGGGGGGAAAAAGAAAAGGACATTTGAAGTACAGTTCTTATACTAGAAATTAGGTGCTTTAAACCTATAAGTTCTTTTGATAAAGTTAATGACAAGACATAGTGCTGCCATTTATTTTTAAATAGAATATATAAATATGTCATCTATTACTTGAATATAATATATATATATATTAATATATAAATATGCTTGAATATAATGTATAATTATCTTCAGGAAAATATTCATAACATTATAATTTTTCTAACAAAAATAATCATCTGTTATCATACTTCAATACCATAAAATATATTTGGAGGTAAAATGACTTTCCTGTATAAAGTTTTATTTTTGAGCTTATGAGGGCAGGATATGATAATAAAACAAATACTGCATAAGTCATTTGTAAGCGATTATTTTCTATATTCAGATCAGTCACATATATTTATAAAAAATACCTTAGAATTATCTTTATTATAATTTTGTACATATCCCCCCTCCTTCTTTTCAATATTAAATATAAGAGAGTCAATTGTGTTTTTAATAAATCATCAGGTACACTATCAAAAGGTAAAAAATTTTCACGTCTTTATATTAAAATTTGAGTTCTTCTAAGAGTTTAAAACAAACCCACACACAAAAGTTTGCTGTAGAAACCAAAATTATGATAAAAAATTTCTAAACTTTTTTTTTTTTAAGGAGCTGGGTGGTTTGTTTACATTCTTTTTCAGCAAGACATTTTTCGAGACCAGACTCAAAAAATGTATGTATGCATGTATATCTGTGCACACACACACAAACGTATGTACACACATATACATATGCTACATGAACACCTACATCCGTACATACAAGCATATGCACATACATTTCTGAATTAATCTCCTGAACACACTCTTTATGTATATAAATGCTTCTGTATGCAATTTTATAGAAATATTTAGCTACGCATGACAGAAAAATTACACAAGGTTTTAAGACGATTTTTCAATTTCGTTTCGTAAGAATGTGATTTTACTGCTTGCATGCATGATTTATTTAAATCTGTTGATAAGAATTTCAAGAAATTTTGATTATTTGTGTAAACTCCGCATCAGTATAAAATGATCAAACATTAGCAATTTTAAAACAAGAATAATATTCAGATATATTCAAAGTTCTTTATTTTATATAATGTTTTAGATATCTATCAAAGAATGATAGTAATTAGTCATCAAACGAAATAAAAAATAACTTTTTCTTGACATTCTAGCACTACACGGAAAAGCAATTCACCCTTCCGATAATCAACACAAATGTAAACAAACATCTCTTTACGACTGGTCGGAATGCGCAGAAATCACGAAAGTGTCTCTGCGCAACTAGTCGTACGTTTAGCATTTTTACCATGTTTGAGCTAGCCGTCCGACGTCGTACGGGTAGACGCAGCCGTTATCGCCCTACGTGCAGAAAGACTAACTTGTGTAATAAATAGATCTGTTTACGTTATGCGTGTGTCGTTATATGTCCCTCTTCTTTCTTTATGTATCAAAAATTATTTTGAAGAAACTCATAGCGTCTGTTTAATTAATGAAAAGCAATCCGCCGTGTCACTAGCAGTCGTACAAGCTAGAATTGTTGCCAAAGGTAGCAGTGAGATTGCTCAAAATATATTCAGAAAAAAAGCATATTGTGAATTTAATGAATAAAAATTAATCTGCAATGTCATTAATTGCTGCTCAAATGGTAATTTTCTTTAAACCTGCTATTAATCATATTCGTAAAGTACGTTCAGAAATTCCTAAAGACGAAAATCAAATAATGTATTTAACGAATGAAAAAGAATTAAAAAAATCAGCAACATCTGCAGAAACTATAAATATTTCTGTTCCTAAACTTAAAATACATAAAAAAATTATGAAAGAAAATGAATCTGTACATTTAACTAGCGAAAAGGAATCTGAAACATCGTCACTTGTGAATCGTTCAGAACAAACATTAAAAATTTCTAATCCCCGGACTGTAGATAAACAGAAACAAGAAAGCAAGTGTTATGCATGTAGTATATGTGGCAAGTCATTTAAAACAAGATATAATTTACATAAGCATTCGTTTACACACACCGACATTAGACGTTATGTATGTAAAATTTGCAATATGTCATACAGACAGAAATATAGCTTAACATGTCATGAAAAAATGCATACACGTGAAGAACTTTTTGTATGTGATATTTGTGATAAATCATTTGTTAATTTACGCAGTTTAAACAGACATAAGATTTCTCATACAAATGCCAGACCTCATGTATGTGAAGTATGTTTCAAATCATATAAAGATATCCATGCTTTAAGAAGTCACCAGAACACTCACATAGAAGATAAACCATATGTTTGTGACATTTGTAGTAGATCATTTTCTGCTAAGAACATTCTAGTGAAACATAAACTTTCTCATACAAATGATAGACCTTATGTATGTGAGGTGTGTTATAAATCCTATAAAGATATGCGATATTTAAAGAGTCACGAAAGAACTCACTCAGGAGAAAAGCCATATTCGTGTGATGTTTGTTTCAAATCCTTTAGTAGTAGTGATTATCTGCGTAAACATAAAAAAATTCACATAGGATTGAAACCTTTTACATGCCCTGTATGTAGCAGGAAGTTCTATGAATCATATATGCTAAAGAAGCATCAGCTAACTCATATAGATAGCAAATCAAATATAAGTAAGGAATTATCCAAAGATAAATGTAATAGCAATGGAAATAAACAACATCATGTGTGTGAAGTATGTGAAAAAAGTTTCAGTTCAAAGGGTTCACTCTGCAGACATTACCTCAAGCACACTGGAGAAAGACCATATGTTTGCGATGTTTGTGCCAAATCATTTGCTGCTAAATGTACTATGGACAGGCATAAGCTGGTTCATGGGAAGAACCTAAATAAATTATTGTAAAAGGCACATCTATAATTAGCGTAATTTGTTCATGACAGTTACCAGTTATAAAATAAAATGTAGATTGCCATGAGTAAACAAATAATTTATAGCAAAATTTTACTGGAGAGATGGCCAGCTTATACATGAGATAAAATGATTTGCATCTAATATAATCTTAAAAATGATAGTCGATATATAATAGCTGCAAAAATTTAATTCTTTTGATCTAAATATACAAATTTCTTAGTATTAAGTGCAAGTCAAAATTTTTGAGCAATTCTTGAAAATTTCTTTCTGGTAGAGGCAAATCCAGGTGAAGGTCATCATCTTTTTCTTCAACATTAACATTGTTATCACTCCCTCATAGATCATCTTCATCTCATCATCTTCAGCTCCATTTATAACATCGCTCAGCAAAAGTGATAACATTTGTTTTAAAACTAACAGAAAGCTCAACCCTTTTTCATCAGAGAATTTTCAACTGTAGAACTGAAATAAAGAATTGTATTTTACTTGTAAAAGAAAAACTGAAACTGAGAAGAAAATGTCTTGTGATTGATGGAACATGGCTATCACAACTGAGAATCAAAGTAAAATTCATCATTTATCGTAAAAGTATTGAATGTCGCATATGCCGAAAAGCTGAGAGAGTTGAGATAAAAAAACATTTTTCAAATGAAAGTTGAAGGTAAAATTGGCATTTGCCTTCAAGTCTTCTTATAGATCTCGCTAACCTAGATAAGCAATTATGAATACATTTGGTGATGTATATAGATGAATTTATAGGGTATTTTTTAGCATAAGTATGGGTTTTCAATTACGACTAAATTTTTTAAACAAATTCTTACCTTTTTGTTTATATTCACATATACTAAAGCATATATATATAAATTATCAAATGAATATTTAGAAATTAAGAATGTGAATAACAAAGTATACTTGTGATGAAAGCTGCAGCCTAATTTCGGAGTAAATCGTAAATTGAAAGAATCACAATGATGTTAGGGATTGATTTTTCGATTAATAGCTTGTAAAAAAATATATAAAAAGGCATAAAAGCCAGATAAAAAATACTTTAATTTTATTAGGCTTTTATAACTTTATTATGCATTAGCACCCTGTGTCTGTGGGTAATGCATTCCAAGACTTGTCATACCATGCATAATTGCAAATGCTATATAAAACAAACTATTTGTGTAACATATAGATTAAATTAATATATTAAGTAAATAAGATAATATTACAATTGAATAAAATAAAATAAAAATATTCTTTATCCAGCAGTATATTACTGTCCTTCATACCCATAAATATCACAAGTATACTCCTCAAAAAATTATAAAAAGTTATTAAGTGATATTTATGTAGTTTCTGGTGCTGATTCAAAAGTGATAATGCTTTTTTTTCTTCCCCTCTTTCATGTAAGGTTTCTCTGCAACATAAGTTAAGACTTTTAAGAAAAAAGATCAAAAACACAATTTTTGGTACTTTTCACTTGAAGGCAAAGATCACTTGGGGTCATGTGATATGAACCGGCGAATCAGGATGCTGAACCATAAAAGCATAATAAATTCTTAAATTAATATCTTTACAAATTTATTGTCTTTATTTATTGACTTTTAACAAATTTTTGAACAATATTAAAATGTTTATGCCTTCAAAATAAAAATTCTTAGAACTAACATTTGTTAACATTTTTTATGTGTATACTGTATGTTGTCACCTATAAAGTCTGCTTGGCAGTATTTGCACTGACGAAACGGAAAAGTACCTAATTTTTAATTATGTTGCACATGTTTATTTTAATTTTACTATTGGTTAACCATGTAAAAAATACATAAATATTTACTAAAACTAGCAAGGAAGTAATAAAGGTGCACTACAACTTGATTGTAAGTCTTTGTAGAAACGTTGTCACTTTCCATCAAAACTACTTTTGGTAATTTTCCTGTTGTGAACTTGTGAATTTTCTCTTCTTAACATCCAACTTTAGTTTGCAATCATGTTTAACATTCCGTCTTTCTTGACAGCTGTGTTACATTTTTGTCATGCAGTAATGAAAACGTTCTCCTTGCACCACACTTACAGTTCCAAGATTTTTGGGAAAATAGTCAAGGTGTGAATGAAGGATATGAACTTCTACCCTCAAGTTAAAGTCAACTGTTTGTAGTTCTTCAACAAATCTACAATAAAGTTTTGTAGTTTGGATCCCTTTTTGTTGCTAAGAAAGCCAGTTATCACAAGTGTAAAAGACTTTCAGGTTTTTTTTTTTTTTTTTTTGTCTTATTTTCCATTTTTGACTTTAAACTAATTTAAATTTTCATTCTTCAAAAATTCTGGTATGTTGGGTTCAACAAGTAGACCTTCTTTTTAAGTTTTGTTTTAAATAAACTAGGAAACTGTTCACAAATCTATCTAAAGCACTTTCCCTCGTTAGTTAATACTTTGACCAATTGTTTTATGAGACCTAACTTGATATTAAGTGATGGAAGTGATATTGTTTTAGGATCCACTAAACACATCTTTTGAACATTCTTAATTCCAGTAATGAAACAGCCTTTCTTTTTTACTATAATGTTTTCCATCACAACTAAACCATTCACAAAGTAAGCATGGGAATTTTGTCCAGCCATTCTGTTGGCCTAGTAACATAGAAATTACTTTCAAGTCACCACAAATCATCCACATATGATAAGGCCCACAGATGTAGCAGAAACTGTCTGAAGAATTAACATATCCTTTTCTTTTGAAATTAAATATAAAACTAAAATGTGTCACTTCGAAAGCAAGCCTTAAGTATATATGGGAATTTATTTATTTTTATTTGGAACTCAGATAATGCATGTGCAAGAAATACTAGTATAATAAATAATATAATTTATGCTGAACTTTCTCAGTGTTCAGTAAAGAATTATGTCTTTCTTTAAAATGGAGACTTGTGTCTATCTGTAGAACTAAAAAGGAATGTTAGCATAAAAAAACAAAGCAAATTAAATACCTTACTTTGAAAGATGCAACAAACAAATATGAGCCTTATCTTTTGAAAAGCTTGTTTTTGACTTTCTTTTTTTCCTTTAAGGTCATAAATACTTCATTATCTCGTAAATTATTACTTCAGATTTTTAATTTTATAATTTCTACATGTCATCTTGCTAAATATAAATTTATGGTCTAGTACAGTCAAAAATCGTTAATCCGGACTCGTCGGGACTTGGGCGATTCCGGATTATCGATTTTTTCCGGATTATAGATCATCAGTTTAAATCTGGTAAGATGGCATGCAGAAATTATAAAAAAAATATGAAAACAGTAATTTATGAAATAAAGAACAATTAGGATCTAAAGGGTATCAAAATTTACACAAAAAAAAAAAAAAAAAAAAAAAAAAAAAACTTAATATTTATTTGTTTACTTTTATAAACATTTCTTTCAATGTAAGTTGTTTAAGTTGCTTCGTTTTTATGTGATAATACATTCTCTTTAATCTTTAAAACAGACATAATTTCTTGTTCACTTACAAAGTTCCGCTGTTCAAGTCCTATAATTGCTGTGTCGAGAATACCGACTAATTTGTCAATTGAAATTTTTTCGTTTTCAATAACCTCCGTCACTTTCTTCGCTATCGGAAGCGAATTATAATGACGAGGAATTTGATTTAAATCATATCAAAGATGGAGTACATCGAGATGAAATACTACATTTAATAAGGAATTATAAGCCAAATAAAATAAAAGCATCTGCCCTGAAGATAAGGATAGTGGTGACAGATCAACTTCCAATTCATTGCGCGGCGTTAAAGATAAACAAAGTTTAGATAAAACAAACGTTTAAAGTTTAGATAAACAAAGGATATGCCTTTATCCATTTTTGTAGCAATTCCACTTTGGTTTAATGAACTTAGAAACATACTTTCGCTTTGTAGATCATTTACATATTAATAAATATATATCAGAGAAATTTATTTGCACATAATCGAAAGTTCAAGCTTACTTTTATAATATTGCTCTAACAGTCTGCAAAAAAAAAAAAAATAATAAGCCGTATCCAATTCGAAGATTAAGGAACAACGCATCTGCAACATTAACTGAAATAGATAATTAAATAATTTTAGCCTACCTATATACCGTCCGTTATACATTAAATGTGCACTGCGTAAATGTATTATGCGTATGCGCACACGCATATTCGCAGCCGGTAAAGGCGTTACGCGTATGCGTCAACGCGATGCATGCGCAGAAAGTTTGAAGCTTTGAGGTCCGGATTATAGATCATTCCGGATTATGGGTGTCCGAATTAACGACTTTTGACTGTATCTGGAAAAATCCCAAATCTGGAAATACCATCAAGTCAGACTTTGAAGGAATTTGTGTAAGATGAGAATATACGGATAATTTAGCAATGACTGTTTCTATTCGCATGTTTACTTACATGAAGCCTAGGCATGCAAATGTAGAAGAAGATGGTATTGGGTCATTCTGAGCTGTTATATAGTTGGTTACATTATAAATTGCTGCAGTTGCGCTTGCATTTTAAAATGTCTGAAAGAAATGCAAGAAAATATTATACAAAGTGGCTTGCCACTTTGAATTGCAGATACAGGGTCATGTCTCTATTTTATTGCTATAAATTTATCCAAATTTCAATCTATAACATAGCACAGTCTAATTTTAGCTCTTACTGAATATATATACTGTAGTCTTGATTGTAGACTCGTATGATGCACACCTTGATCACACATGTGGACCACAAAAGTCTTGATAAATAGAAATGCCACTAAAATGACTATGCAAAAAGTAATATGTCGTTCTTTGAAAATTTATTTATAGTAGAGGCTTGACTGTCCAGGAAGCTTGGAAATATGAATGTCGGACATGAAAATTCCATGTAGTTGACCATATAAAAAATACAAGCCACAGTAGAAATAAATACCAAATGAATGGAAGAAAATATTTTCAGAGTCAAATTATAAAAACAGGTTATCTTATTTGTTATTAGCTTGAGCATCAAAAGCCCATATTTAAAATTATGTAAAATTAAAAAAAAAAAGGTTGCATTACAGAGACAAAAGCCAGTGGCGTAGCTAGGGTGGTGCAAGCGGGGACATCTGTCCCCGAGCGCATCATCCAGGGGGTGCGAAATTGATGCTACGGAATTTTTTAATAAAATGCTTTTCATTCTTGGCACACAGAAAGGGGCGCAAATTCTTCAGTTGTCCCCGGGCGCTGAAAACTCTAGCTACGCCCCTGACAAAAGCTGAAGTATTTGGTAGGCTTTAAACCTATGAAAGTAAAACATCTTATCCAGTTATGAAATCTTGTCAACTATTTAGAATTGCAGATATCTCGCCAAACTTGCACCAGTCATTCCAGCAGAAGGTTAAAAGAACACATTATTCTTTATTTAGTTAGATAATTAACAGATTCAAGTTATGAATATAATTTATAATGAAACTTAAATCACTTATAATTTTTCACATGACATAGCCATTGCTTATCTGGTTTAAATAAAGGTGCTTATCATGCGCATTAACCTACCCCCCTTTTTATAAGCCAGGATTCCACACCTTTGAAAGTACTCCACTGCACACTGTTGTTCCATGTAAAACAGGTGCAAAATTTTAAAATTTTTCTCAAAATGGGGAAAAAAAATGTAAATAGCAGTTAGCTTATATCTTTTTTTAAAAAAACTGAAACTGGCTTATAAAATTATTACTAAAGTATTTACTTACTTTTACTCGAAACTAAGGAAAAAAATCGCATTGTGATGTGATGGTTATGCATTATTTACGTCAAATCACAACACTGTATGGTGACTTTATAATTAACGGCTTTGGAAATCCTTCAGTTACTTAAGTTTTTCAAGTTTTGAAATTTCTAATACATTCTGGTTGAGCTTTTCATTTAGTTGAATGCTCTATAATTAGGCTTTTACTGTAATTAAGGCCTGGAATTTTAGGGGCTGCACTTATAGGAAATTAAAGTTCAAATCTTCTGTGAATGGTATTTTTCATGATATGTAAAACAATTTAGATCTACGTTGTTCCATTTCACATTTATCTGCTATTAAAATGTTATTTGTATGATTATATTTATTTAGTGCTGAAAGTAAACTAGTGGTAGTGATGTGAATGCAGATGAGTTTTGCTTTGAAAATGTTCAAGCTTTGTTAAATGTAGGTATGCATTTCTCATTGGCAAACTAGATTAATTTGGTGACATCATCCTTGCCTATGTGCTCATCAGCTCACTTAATATTATATTAATAATTTTCTTTTCTTTTTAATTATTGGAAAAGTAACATCAGCTGTCAAACCTCATCTTAAGCTGATTTAGAAGCAGTCAGGAGGAAGGATATTATAATGCTTAAATTAGATTATCATTTCTTAGGGTGGATCATTCAATCAATACCGTTTATGCTGAGATGTCGCTGTTTACAACGCGATGTTTCCGGCTCGATGATAGGTCTGCTATAAAGGTGCATGACATAGAAAGCCCAAATGAAAGTAATTCTAGAAGGAAAAGCTTGGCAGGGAAGAGGAGCTTAAAACATGAAAAACGTGTAGACGAAGCTGAAAGTTCATGCAAGAGACCGCGGA